ATTTTGGTATCACTTAGGGTGTTCAGGACGGAACGCCGATATTTTTAATTTAGCCATCAAGGTATCGTTTAGGGTTGCACGCGAGAAAATAAAACAAATGCCGTCATACTGTGTTGGTGGTCTCATTACCAAAGATCGGTTGCAACTTAGAATGTTAGGGGTCAAATAAAGAAGCCACGCCCAGATTGGTCTCCTTCAGGACTTAAAGTGCAACTAACCCCAAAAAGTTTTTTTCGCTTAAATAAATTTCCTTGCTACCCTGATCAAGTCTGCGAAAAAATTATCGCAATCGATAAAATCCCCGCGTTTCTACAGCCGTTTAAACTTGGAATTTTCTGTCCCACGACCGCGCATTATTCGGGTCCTGGGTCGAGATCTTGTGACGTAACGGCGGGAACGTTCTGAATAGCGATAAGAGGCTTTTGTGAGGGATTTACATTGTGTAGAAACTTCTTCGGATGATTTCTTTTTCTTTACGTCTTCATTACTATCGCAATTTTACCCACAAAGAAATATGTCTTCCAGCGACGGAAATTCGGAGTCGAACTATGATTCCGAAGATTCTGAGACATGTTTTATTCCGGAATACGACATGGAGGTGGAAGATGAGATCGAGTCGGCTGTTGTAGATCGCACAACAAGCAATGAAAGCCTTGATGAAATGGCATATATGTGTGCTGATGAACCCTTGGCGGACGAAGAATGGCTAAAAAATTACAACAAAGAAGTTAAAGAAAATGAAGATTTAGAACGAATGCTTCAAAAAAGATTGGACGGCACGGAACATGTGAGGGATTCTTGGTGAGTCGCAAGTTGCCAAGTATTGCGTAAATGTAAACAAACGCGATTGCTGTCATGTCGCTACGAAATGTATTATTCGCATTCTCAGTGAAAATTAAACAGAACAGAATAGTGTTATTATCTTACCTTTATTGTAGGTGTTCATGTGGAAACTGCAAACATGAATCGCTTTTAAAATCTTAGCGAATGCTACTGCTGTCGTACACCATATAACTGCTGTTTAGCGAGGTTACAATTTATATGCCATCCAATAAAGCTTGTTTTGGCGCTGTCCTATTAAGTATTGGTCCATGCTTAAAGTTTGTATATCGAGAGTTTATAGAGAAGTGTATTAAGAGTTGCTTGAGACGCAGCCAAGAGATAGTCGATCGATTGAAAATCGGCTTGCTCCGCGCGCGGTCTGCTCGGGCCTGGAAATTGAAGCAAAGCTGAAAGGAAACAAGCCACATCACTACAGTTTTGACATCCTCAAACGTTTGTCGTTGCTACTCCAAATAACCACCATAGTGAACTAAGTTAATTTTGAAGTAAAAACCGTCAAATAAATGACTTTTTCTTCCTCGGTAAGCGAAATGGAAGTGGTGTTCCCACGGTGGTCCGCATTAATGTTACGATGAGTATACGGTTTATCGCACCGCTTATTTCCCGGCCTCAGAAAAACTTTTGGAGTTCAAATCTTTTGTCAGTTTTACTATTTTATCCTTCAAAAGAAATTCGTCTTTGACTTTCATCAATATTCCCGAAATTGCTTCGCACGAGGAAGAAATGTTAACGCCATTACAGATGCGCGATATCACGGATCGACGCTCGAGCTACTGAATTTTCTGGTTATCTTTTAGCAGCGATGGAGATAGGTTCTCGGTAAAATTTGGTCGAATTGCTAGTTGGCTTTGACCGGTTAAATAGCCTTTGGAAGTCGGCCTGCTAGAAGTGCGCGGACAAATTTCAGAGTTCTTGATCAATGACTCTCACCGAGTCCCACTTTATACTTCGCTCGTTTGAGATTACAAAATCCATCGTCTTTTTCGTATTTATCGACGATCGCTATAAAATGGTATAGTATACCTTTCTCTAAATCTGGGGTGTTGCTGCAACGGCCAATAACGCACCTGGAAGGAGTTTCTACACACTTTTCGAATGTGTATCGCATCTTCCTAAAGGAAATGAGTGGACGCGAAGGATCTAAGGTTCCCGGGCTTACGTCACAAGCCGCTAAACTCATTCCCAGTCAAAAACGCGGTCGTGAACAAAAATGGAGGCGTTTTTGGTGACTTTGCCGGGGCACAGAAAATCGAGGATTCAACCAAATCCAAAACAAATTTCGCAGTTAAGTTTCAAATAACAAGTACATTTATTTCAACGAATAAAAATTCTTGGGGTTAGTTGCACTTTAATTCAAAATTTCCGACGAGCATCCCGTCCCTTTCATATGGGAGTCCCCCACCGGGGCTAATCTATAATCTAGTCCCCTCACCCCACGTAATCTATACGTCGCATTTGTATGTATCGCATTACGTCGCGTCGAATGAAACGGCCAAACCGCTAATGGGGACAACGTGTTCTACTTTGCTATTTGTGCGAGCATTGCGCAGATTTAAAGCTTTCTACTGAGACTTGGATATTACATTTGACGCAACTGAAATACGTTATAGACCTAAGGCGCGAAACCCGGATAAAGAGGCTGGCTGGGGTCATTGTGTTATGATATTAATCCTGGCGACCAATGAAAATTCAAAGCGAGTGCATCTATTGTAATCTCATTTTCGTTTTGATAGAAATTCATCTGAACACCTCTGTGTTTATTTTCTAAATGGATTGTGCTTTTAACACAACCGATATTAATATATTTATGGAAGAAAACGAAATGACTTTTTTGACAGATGTACGGGTGATCTGGGCTGGAGGGCGTACAAGGCCACCTCTTGACAAACCAAAGTGTGGATGGGAGAATGAATTGTGTATAGAACAAGACAGGCAAGGTATGTATTCATTTGTTGGAAGTCGTCGTGCAGCAACAGTGTTTTAGGTCCATCCCGATACAAAAGCGACTATTATATACACCCCCGGGGGCTACTCCTCGACATTTGTGGTGGTGTGTCGCCCGCTTCTTTAAACCCTTACCTGTTTTCAGACCAAAATATGCGATTTTTCTCACCCAATTTCAGACCTGACCCTTAAAAATGTCCTGCTTTTCACGCCAAAATGGCAAAAATCTATACCCGTTTTCAGACCAAATCTCGGCATACCCTTTGGGAGGCACATATCTATGTAGCTTATAGTGGGGAGTATCCGTCCCCCCCCCCCCCCCCCCCCCCGTACCTAGACAACAGAAAAATGACTGAATAATAAAGTTTAGTTATTCACTGAATTGTACCCCTTTTGTTTCATTCTAGCCACTCAGCACTTAGTCAAGGTCGTGATAGGAGCATCCACTGCTGGTGTCTTGGTGTTAGCACTAATGTTTTTCCTCATCATCAGGTAAATAATTACATTATAGCCTGAAATTTGTGCGGGAGTTGTTATAATTTGCGTATTGGTCATTATTTTCCTATTTGCAAAGATCGATATTTTCTATTCGGGTGAATTGTTTCGATTCTATCAAGTCGATAATCACCAATATTCACGAGCCTGAGGCGAATAATTGTTAATTATTATACATTCAACTCACTATCTCTTTTCTGATTGGCCGAAAGCGTACAGTGAATTTTCGAAATCAGCGCCTTTGAAAGCATCTACGTCATCTACCTACAGATTATACAATAATCATGTCAAGGACACTCAAGGTCACGGGTAATCACGGGTAATCGTGTCATGTATGACCGCGGTGCATGATTTCCAAGGGTAATCAGGTCAAGTTCGCGCGCTTTGCGTTGCTTGCCGCTAAGTAAACAATATCGGTGGCAGAAGCATTATTTTTTTTCGTTGAATGTATAATTTGGCTTCGGCTGATAACTCTTATTTCGACCTTGATTATTCTGGATATCACAAAAACCTCATCCAATAATTGTTCATAAAACGTTTGAATGCAGAGGACCACACAACGTAGAAATTAGTTGCTTGGCTACTGTTTGTTGCCGGCCGAATCTCTTATTTTAGAAATGCATGTGTTAGACATTACCTGAAGTTTAACTGAACCAAACTGCTTGCAAGGCTGGTACTATTGTAAAAGTGCAGGTTTAATAGCGACCTTTAGATCGGAGTATGAGTACAAGATTGAGCACGAGTACGACTTTAATTTCAAACCTAGTGTGCAGGGTTTACATAAAAAACGTCTAACCTGGAGGCTCCTTCTCTACTGGTCAGCAACAGGGAGGAGCGAGGGCTCTGGGAACGTGACTGATTTGTAGTCGTAGTCAATCTCGTACTCGTACTCCGATCAAAAGGTCTATTGGCCTATATATTTCACCTGGCAGTACTACAAGTCTTCTTCAGGGCTGGGCTATAATGATAACACGTGTAAGGAGCTATGTAAGGAGACAGGTCAGGCGAATTTGATCGTTGACAAATAGCGCCGTTGTACTGGTTCATTTACAGGAAGCTTCGCTATGAGACAGATCTGGCACAGAACAAGTCTTGGAAGCTCCGTTATGAAGATCTGCACATTCAGAACCCCAGTGGAACAGAAGAAGTTCACTCGCCGCGGCTGGGGTTACCCGCTTTCATGCGAGAGAAGAGGGCGCCATTGGCAGTTCATCAAATTACAGTTACTGTACAGTTCCATATTAATTAAGCTGATTTTAAACGCTTTCAACTTTCAACAGTGCCTCTCTCCTCCCAGGAGTATAATTGGGTAGCGATGTAACCTGCGATGGACTAGCATTCAATGCACGGGAGTAGCAATACTCCTAGTCACTTCATGCTATGGAAACTGTGATAAGCTCCGGCAGTGTGAGACACTTTGGCCCAAGCGCACCGGATAGCCTGCGTAGCAGGCGCTGGAGTAAAAAGAAGCGCGAGTTGGAGTGGTCGTCTTTTGTCTCTCACGCGCCCTAAAAAGTCGCGTTTTTCTCCACTCAGCGCCTGCTACGCAAGCTAGAGCGCAGACTTTGCCTTATTTTTTAGTGTTGAGACATACCCCAAAGTCAACTCGAGACTGGCTTAATTGATCTTTCTTTTTCCTTGTTATGAAAATACAACTGCAACGTACTGCTCAATTGAATTTCTACCGCAGTTCACATACACAATTTATTCCACATGGAGACGCGGTGGCCTAATGGTAATTAAGGCGTTGGACTCCGGATCGAGCTTTCCGGGTTCGAGTCCTGGTCAGGGTCATTGTGTTTTGTTCTTTCACCTGAATAACATGTCTTTTAGCAGCCTGGAACCAGCCAAGAAGAATTGAACGCAAACTCGATCAAAGTCAAGACTTTCACCAGTCCCCTGAGTCAAGATGAGAACTTAGCAGGGACCTCCAGTACGCCAGTACACACCGAGCAAATCTTCACCACCATTGGAGACTTCCAAGTAAGACATAAACCAAAGTTACTATTACCTGAAGATGGCAGGCGCAATAGTCTTGTTTTGTATATATTTTTAAAGATTTTCGTAGCCATCACTTCCAAGTTACGATATTTAAGAGGTCTTCACAAATACATATGAGGCTTTTACGACTATTAGGGCTAATACCTCTACAAGTAAAGCGCTTAGAAACCCACCTTAAATAACGTTTTGTGCAATAACACCAAAAAGTGTTCTGGGGACGTATTTTTTGTCATAATAGTCCAGACCGCTCTTCTCGCTTTTTTACTTCCGGTTGGTCGATTGTCGCTGAGAATAAAGTAGAGGGAACCTTGCAAGAGCATGCTCCAGACCACTTAGACCGATCAGAAGCAATGAGCTATTACGTCATTTCTTCCCCGTTTCAAACTGATGCCGCACGCCAAATGAACAGAAATGCTTAGGCTCCAAACTAACAACTACACGCGCAATGGCTAATTGTTTCTGATTGGTCTATGTGGAGTATGCGCATGCAAGGTTCCCTCGACCGACACAGCGGCAAAATGACTGCGCGTGCGCCAACCTGCTCGCTCATTTCCATACAAACATAATTGCGGCAATTCAAAATTCCCGGAATTTGTTTCATTTCGCGTGGATAAGGCCGTCACGGAACAGATAAGGTTTTTACCTTGTAAACAATTCCGAGAGAGACTCTTCTTTCACATATCTTTTTTAGCAAACTAATTATCTTTTCCACAATAGTGAATTTATCGCTCGAAGTCGAGCGATCGTAAGTGAAACATGAACTCTTGAGCTATGTTTTCGTGTTTCACTTACGATCGCTCGACTTCGAGCGATAAATTCACTATTGTGGAAAAGATAATTAGTTTGCTAAAAAAGATATGTGAAAGAAGAGTCTCTCTCGGAATTGTTTTCAAGGTAAAAACCTTATCTGTTCCGTGACGGCCTTATCCACGCGAAATGAAAACAAATACCGGGAATTTGAATTGCCGCCATTATGTTTGTATGGAAATGAGCGAGCAGGTTGGCGCACGCGCAGTCATTTTGCCGCTGTGTCCCCTCGACCCTATTCTCAGCGTTAATTCTCAGCGTTAATTCTCAGCGCCAACCGGAAGTAAAAAAGCGAGAAGAGCGATCGAGGGACTGGACTAGACTTGGTCACGCGCGTTTTCCCGCCCTTGGCACCGGTTACGCGTATTTGCTTCGAGTTCTCATTGGTTCATTGTGATGTTTACGTTTGTTGTGATTGGTTAGTTGCTTTGGTTTTAATTTGTTTTATGACACTCAATTGTAAACCGCTCTAGTATATATTTTCTATTGTCTATTCTGCGATTTTCTTCATTTGTTTTAGGGTCGCACTGTGGCAATTAAGCGCCTGAACAAGAAAAGTGTTCATTTGACTCGAGAAATTCTCATTCAGCTGAAGCAGGTAAATAATACGGCAAAATCAACACAAATCTGGATAGAAGACGAAAAATATAAACATAATTAAAAAGACCTCCGTTTATGACAAAGTTTACCATAGAGATAAGGCCATCTCCTTTTTTCCCGTTTACCGTCGTTAAACGTTAAATTTTTCTGATTTTGATGTTGGGTCGGCGGAGTAAAAAACAATTCCCACCCACAAAAGAGGAGGAGTCTGGAACTAGGAGGCCTGGTACCCCAGTATCATTGCCGTGGAGCTTGGAAACAACAAGACGTGGTTACAAAATCAATAGTAGAAGACGAAAGTATCGATTTAGCTGTTTAATACAAATACATGAGTTGGTTTGCCTTCGGGGAGTGGGTGGGGGGTGGGGGGGGGGGGGAGGGGGGTGGGGAAAGGGGGGTGGGTGTTCGCCTTCTATATAAAAGGGGTAAAGGTGACCGACTACACTGTCTCCCACATAATATCGATATTTTTTAAACGCCAAAATATCTGGATCGATCGGACGACGGTAAAAGAGAAATGAAGGGGACGGGATGGTGCAAAAAACCCTATCGTATCTTAAACACTAGCAAACACTCCATCTGAAAGCTTATTTCAGCTCTCTGCTCTCGTATTATAATGTTAGTCTTACGGAAATCGGTCAAATTTTCCAATGACCCAAAATCGAGGGAAATATAATTTTGGACTGAGTGAAATCAAGAGAATATAAGGGTTATTCTCTTGGTGAAATCTAAAAACCTTTGCGGGGAACAATGCCTCCGGACTTCCACAGATTCGACGCTCAGACTCTAGTAAACCAGTCAAGTTTTTTCCTGATCCGCGCCTGGGTAGTCTTCGCGTTTCGATGATCTCAGATGATCTGTTCATTATTAAAGAAAATATAAACGACTTTCTTTTTAGTCGTAACGACGCGAGTGAAAGGAAAGTTGAAACGACGCGAGAAGTAAGCGCGTGTATCGTTCGCCTGCAACTGTTCTGTGTATTTACAAAGTACGCTTTTCAGTAGATAGTTTTTGACCAATCCGAGCGCGTATTAGATCAGGCTTATGTTTATTTTTTTCTCTAAAGGTGCGCGACATAAGTCATGAAAACCTGAATCCATTCATCGGAGCATGTATCGAGTCGCCGAACATTTTGATGGTTTGGTCATACTGCAAAAAGGGAAGCTTGCAGGTACGTACTTATAAACGACAACAATTTATTTGTTTTGTCCGGCTTAGTTCAAATTGACATAAATTTGTTTTGCCATTAGATTCCAGCTCTGATTTAGTTCGTTACAATTTAAAATCACTCTATGATGTACATATTAGTTTTGTTTTACTACTGATTGGTTGAAAAATCAGCATGTGTGCTCTGATTGGCTAGAGCACGTTGCACGGTTATTATATTAAATAGAGCGGTTTTCAATTGACTGTCGAAAGTAATCCGGAATTGCTTTGGTTTTGCTTAATTTACGACGCTCTATGATTGGTTTAAAAAACTCAACTACTCAACCAATCAGATGCAAAACAAACCAATCGCGGCTTGGTCACACGCGTTTTCCGTGCTTGGCGCTGGTTACGAGTATTTGCTTTGAGTTCTCATTGGTTCATTGCGTTGACTTGGTTTGTTGTGATTGGCCACTGAAATTGCTATGGTTTTGGTTTCACGACACTCAATAGAAAACCGCTTTATTACAGAGCTTGGCAAATGCATGGACCAAAGCAAAGACATGACTTTCGACATTCAGTTAAAAACCGTTTTGTATATGTTGTCGTATTATTGTTATTGTCTTTCTCCGTTTAGGACGTTTTGGCCAACGACGAGTACAAGATTGACTATGGATTTAAACTGTCGATGGCAATCGACATAGCGGCGGTAACTAACTTCTTTATTTGTTCTTACACACGCTTCTTTCACGTATCTACCAATGACAAAACTAAGTTTTTCTTCTATTCGTCTCCCTTCACAGCGGTCCGGTTTCGAGCGCTGACCTGGGTCACAATGTTGTTTTCTTGGGCTAGACACTTTACTCTCTCCACCCAGGAGTATCATGAAATTATCAGGGCAACCTGACAGAAATGCTATGAAAACTGCGCCATCCTGATAAGCCACGAAGGCTTGTAAAAAGACGTTAACCATGTTTATGTACATGGAGAATCTTCTGATATGGGTAGCTTTGCATAATGTAACTAACCCTACTTACTTTACGGCACGTGACACAGTATTGTTTCTGTCAATCTTTCGATGATGGATTTTTTTGCCTTATCATGTCCAGCAATAAGAGACTACCTTTTCTAATTGACAGTGTATCGTGATTGTATTTCAGGGAATGAAGTATCTTCACAATACTGCTGTTAAATTCCATGGCAACCTGACATCCACTCGATGCGTGATTGACAGTCACTGGGTTGTCAAGATCACAGACTGGGGTTTGCATGAATTCAAGGCTGGACAGGAGAACACCAATTTACACCCAAACAAGATGTATTCCGGTGCGTTCAAAACTGAAAATTTTAACATACTTTATTTTCGCGCGCTCAATTCTTTCCCGGCTCATGACACGTCCAAGATTTGACTCGAAAAATTCCATACTAATGACGTAGCTCCACAGAGATCCGTGTGTAGTGTCTCTGATTGGTTGTTGCTCGGCTTGAAATTTTCGCGCGCAATTAACAACCAATCCGAGACACTACACGGATTTCGGTAGAGCTACATCCAGTCAAATCTCAGGCGTCTCTCGAGCGGCCGGGCGAGAGAAACTCACTCCCCTCCTCCCCATAGCGAGAAAACTGGCTTAATCAAGCGCGGGAGACAGGGGGGGGGGGGGGGGGGGGAATCCAAGTCAGTGCGTTAATTATAACAGTTTTGCTAACTATGGTTGGTTTTCTAATAACGTATGCAGTCGAAGCTCCAGTAAGCGGACACCTTCGTGAAGCCGAAAAAGTGTCTGGAACTGGAGCTGGCCGCTTACAGGAATGTGTAAATACAGAATTTGTATGAGTTATATAATTATATAGTTCAAACGGGGTTTTGTCAAGGCGTCCGTAAGTAGAGCCGTCCGCTTATGAGCGTGTCCGCTCAGAGAGCTTCGACTGAATTCATGATTAACCGCAACGTACGCGTTTTCCATTTCAGATCTCCTATGGACTGCACCAGAGCACATTAATCTCGGCAAGGTGGAGCGAGAGGGGTTTTCCCAGCAAGCCGACGTGTTCAGCTATGGAATACTCTTGCAAGAAATGGCCACCCGCTCGGAGCCATACGGTGGCAGCATGTTGCAACCGAAAGGTTAGCGAGCCGAGCTCGATAACGGTGGATAGTAAAATGTTAAGTTTCAATCAGGCATAGTCACTTAATGGGAAATGTAATTTCTGACGATTAAGTGACGTAGGAACGAACTAGTCAG